GAAACGCAGACGCATCGCCAACCTTCCCGGTCCACCGTAAGGCGGGGGAAGTCTCTGGCAAGGAGACCCGGGGCTGAAGGTTGAGCTGATGCACGGCGTAATGAACCGCAAACGGCCACAGAAAATGGGGGGCAGCCGCATGCATCATGGACGTACGAGCGACGTCCATGACCATGCCAATGCGGCGCTCAGCAATCCCATTTTGCTGTGGAGAGGACAGAAGCGTGAAGGTTTGGCGGATGCCCTGTGCACAACAAAAGGCTCCTATATGGGCAGAGGAAAACTCCCGGCTTGTGTCCAAGTGCAGACGCAGAATAGGAAAGTCCGAGCCGAAACTCTCTCTGAGGTGGAGACGAGCTGCGCGGATCCAGTCGATCAACACCTCAGTGACGTCACCCTTTCTGCACAAGGGGAAGACTGTGGTGTAACGCGAGTAGTCGTCAACCACCAGCAGGAAGTACCGCTCGCGCCCCTGCCCACCGACACGGGCAGGGCCCCACACGTCCATGTGGAGAGTCTGCAGCGGAGCCTCAGTCGGAGGAAACTTGGAGGAGTGAGGGGCGGCGGGCTGTCGCCCCTTGACGCAGGGGTTGTAGGTAGGGCCAGGCCCCAGAGGTAGGGGAGGGAGAGACCAAGGGAGACCAGAGACAAGGACACAAGAGGCCATGCCTCGGAGACGAGGCAGGGAGGGGTGACCAAGGCGGTGGAGCCAGAGGAGAGACTGGTAGGACAGCAGATGGCACGAGCAGGGAGCACACTCAGGACCAGACCTGGATGCTACAGCAAATACCTGACTCGACGCAGCTACCTCAGCAGACTAAGTAGTCGGCAGGGACTCAGTAGTAAGGGTGTACAGGCTCGACCCCGGCCGACGGGTGAACGTGGCCAAGTGTCAGCCTGTCCGAGCACACGTGCAGTGGGTCACTCGCTGACTCGCAGGAGTGAACTGGTCAACCCCCCTATCCTGTAGGTCCGCTCCACTCACCAAGTTCGTAGAGAACGAGGGGAGGTAGAGACCTGACAGGGTGCTAGAGGGGGCTGCCGGGCACGGTAAGACAGTAGAGTAGCTAGCAAGGACAGGACCCTCAGAGGGGTCTGCCAGGGAGACTGCAACCGGCCGACTGAGCGGTGTAAGAGTGGTGCGGTCTCAAAAGAAGGAGCGGGACGCACCCGAGTTAAGGGTGAAGGTGTGGAAGGCCTGAGCCGACGTAGTACCTGAGAGTGCAGACTCACCAGCACCTGGGGCTACAGACGCACTGGCACCTGGGACAGCAGACACACTCGCACCTGGGGCGGCAGACGCACTGGCACCTGGGGCAGGAGACGCACTGGCACGTGGGGCAGCAGACGCACTGGCACCTGGGGCAGCAGACGTACTAGCACCTAGAGCAGCAACCTCACCAGCACCTAGAGCAGTGGCCTCAATGCCCAGGTCAGGCGGTACACACATGTAATAGTCACCCTCAACACTAGTAGTCACAGAGTACATGGCAGCAAGGATAGCATCATAGTCAAGATCAAAGACGGCAAACCCCGCCCTAGACAAATCTCCCCAGCGAGGGATCTCTGACGCCTAAGGGAACTGGCGACGCCACGCGTCCGTCTGGCGACCGAAGCAGCGCTGGGTGGAGTGCGGGCCTCTGCACTGCTCACCAGCTTGGTCCCCGGTAAGGAGGACGTAAGTGCAGGGACCAAAACCTCCACCGCGCTGACGCGCAGTGTACCACTCACGAAGCTGCTGAGGGGACAGTGTCACACCACTCCGCTGCTGTTGCTGGCGCGGACCACCACCCAAGCCACTCCTCTGCGCAGAGTCGGGACCCGCTCCACCACCGCCGCCTCCTCCACCTCCGCCTCCTCCGCCACCTCCGCCTCTTCCGCTCCCTCCGCCACCACCACCGCCTCCGCCGCCTCCATTGCTGCCGCCGCGGCCACCACCCCCGGCACCACTCCCACCACCACCCCACTCCGTACGCCACCTCCACCACCACCTCCACCGCCCCCTCCAGCCCCTCCAACGCCTTTTCCTCCCTTGCCCTTGCCGGTGCGGCGTCTCCCACTCGAGGCAGACGTAGCGCCGACCGACTGGAAACCAACAAGGTCGGCCGCAGCAGTAGAGGCAACAGAGGGCAAGAGGGGGGAGGGAGAACACCCCTCAAAGATAGGGGTGCGAGGGTCACCACGAGAGTCTCCTACAGCGACTATGCTCTTCTCTGCCGCTAGGAGGGCCTTCTCGAGGAGGTCAACGGTGAGTGTGGTGGGGCAATCTGAGAGGAAGTGGTCCCTGACTACGGAGAGAATCAGGGAGCCGGGTGACTAAGTAGTAGAGGGTGATGAAAATGGGGGGCGGGTTCTTGGCGCAGAACTCAGTAGAAAGCACAGCGCGGTAGTGAGTGTTACTAGTGCAGAGGTGCGTAATGAGGTGGGCGATTGTGGGAAAGGCAACAAGGTCAGGGAAGAGGTACAGTAGCATAAGGTGGCTCAGTGCAGCAGTGGCAGGGGAAGAGTAGCGTGCAACTACAGCGTCGTACAAGGTCTTAGCACTCTTGTACTGGCTAAAGTGTGCACGCTCAGTGGTGGGTAAGTGGCGACGCATAGCAAGGCGAGGAGCAGCATCGCGCGTGGCCCACTGTGAGCAAACAGTGGCGTCAGCATCAGCAGTAGGGGCAGGAGAGGCACCAGAAGTGAGGTCAAAGAGGGAGAGACCGTCTGCCCTATCGCACTGTAGGAAAAGCTGCAGATCATCTACCCAGACCTCAAAGTCCACTGCCCGACCCTCATCGTCAATGGTGAGAACACTAGGGGAGTCCATGACAGCAGTAGACAGGCGGTGAGTACAGTGGGGCAGGGCAGTGCAGTGGCAGAGACGCTGCTCTTACCAGGCAAGTGGGCCGGTCCCGCGCAGGCCGAAGGGCGGCAGCGCCTCGGTTGCAGGGCAGCTCGGCGGTCGGGCGGCTCGGCTGCTTGGCGGCTCGGCTGTCGGGCGGCTCGGCTCCTCGGCGGTTCGGTTGCTCGGCGGCTGTGCTGCTCGGCGGCTTGGGCGCTGGGTGGCTGAGCTGCGACAGGGCCGTGGAAGGGTGGCAACGGGGCCGCTTTAAGGGCGGCAACGGGCCTTTGAAAGGGCGGCGATGCGCCGCAAAAGGGCGGCGACCGGGCCGCGGAAGGGGTGGGCAACGGGGCCGCTGCAGGGCGGCGACGGGGCCACGGAAGGGCGAGCGATGGGGCCGCTGAAAGGGCGGGCGGCGATGGGGCCGGTGAAAGGGTAGCGAAGGGGCCGCTGAAAGGGTGGGCAATGGGGCCGCTGAAGGGCGGCGACGGGGCCCCTGGAGGGCGGCGATGGGGCCGCTTAAGGGCCGCGTCGGGGTCGCGGAAGGGCGGCGACGAGGCCGTTGTAAGGGCGGGCGGCGAGGCCGTGGAAGGGCGGCGACGGGGCCTCTGAAAGGGCGGCGACGGGGCCGCAGGAAGTGGCGGTGATGGGGCTGCTGAAAGGGCGGCGCGACGGGGCCGTAAGGGCGGCGCGATGGGGCCGCAAGGGCGGCGCGACAGGGCCGCAAGGGCGGCGCGACGGGGCCGTTAGGGGCTGTAAAAGGGGCCGCTAGAGGGGGAACGATACGTCACGCGACTCAGGCAGGGGCCAAATGCGCTCCAGGCAGGAAAAAAAAGGATCGGTGGGCCCTACGAACAGTTCCCACGAGGGAACCAGCTCTATATCATGTGAAGATAGAACGAGAGAATGATTGAACTATGAAAGAGTTGGGTACAAGTACTAACCCTTATTGGGTTGTACCCCTTATGGGCTACCCCACTACACCCTACACAAATGCATAAGCTATAATGTTCGGACACGTTTATGCCGTTGTATATTCTAATTATGCAGAACATGATGTTCATAGGGTCGTAGGACGTTTTGGTACACAGAGAACCGGTTCGTCAATTGAGACAATTGATATGACAAGCGAGTATTACAGCTGCCATGTGACTGAATCATCCTTAACGTTGCGATTTTTCAAACGGACAACGCGTATGCGACGGGAGCATAGTCCAATTGTGATAGCGATGGCTATTTCATTTTATTGATTCCTTGGCCCAGTTTTACAGGCCCAAATTCTTATTGAGTCTGCCTATTGCTATTTAAGTTCCCATTTTTACGTACACGTTGATATTTGTGCGGTTGGTGTGCTCTGAACTGAATTACGCAATGGTCCGTTTCATTCCCTTGCGTGTTCCGTTTCACTTTCCGTCGAGTCGAGACGGAATCCGTCGACGGAGACGGATTTCCTCGACGGGAGAAGAGGGCCAGGAGAGGGAGCACGTGGGATGTTCTCATTTTCCGTGCTCATTTTCCTGCTCTCACTTTGGTTTTCTTCTTTTTGCCATCCTGCTAGTCCTCTCCGCCTACTTCTTGGTGCGAGCGCTTCTTCGAGCGGTAGTGTTGGTGGTTGCGTTCGCGTTTAGGTAGAGGGCCAAAACTTGTAGGGTATCCGTGTGGTTCGCGTCCACGCTTCCCCTTGTTTGCTCGCGTTTTCCCCCCGCCATGGCCAGTCGCAAACTGAAGGTGCCGTTGAACAGTGGCGAGCAGGGCGCTACTTACACTGATACGATCTCGATCGCTGGCGCCACTGTGGAGCTCCCCCCCGAGCAGAGGAAGTGCTTCTCTGATGATAAGCACCCTTTCAGCGCGACCTCCTTCGACTTTCTCGCCTGGTAAGTCTTCTTTGGGATGGATTGCTTGTTTAGGACGCCTTGCTGGGTTGCATCGCAGCTTTGTGCAGCTTGTTTAGAACGTCCACATGCGGGAGATGCGGTCGCGTGCATAGCGTTCGCGCTACAAATCGCCAGCAAAATTTCCGTCCGAGCCATCTTCAGACCCCTTACTTCCCTTTGTGAGACCGTTGATTCCCTTCGGGTTCGTATCGACATATATCGCGTCAACTGTTCCATGTACTGGCTTATATAGTTACGCCCGCAGAACATCCCGGCCGCGATGTTTTTGTGGCCGTATGTTCTTTACGATTCCCGTACAGCGTGGTACTTCGGAAGTGCGTGTCCCCGTCGCTCTAAGAGGCGATACAGGTCGTACCCTCCAATGTTGTCGCGGACATCATCGCGGGTGGTGAGGCCGTGCACTGTTGAAATGTATTCATATACATTTATAAATGCCTACGGTAGAGTTTAGGGTAGCTATATAGTTTCCTTCTTGGTGGTGCACCATTTGCCCATTTCCTTGACTATATATTGTATGCCTTCTATTATTGAAACACTTTTCTCCTTCCAAAATCCCTCGACACTTTTCCTTCAACCCTTCAACTCGAACTAAGTCACTCCTAACTATGGCTCCTAAGCCCAACTCGACTTAGGATTCTGACATGCTATTAGAGTGATTACGGTCCTGGCCTGTGGGCCCGCCTTACTGCTTCCGCTGCTACTCTGTGTTCGGCACGCCCCGTGGCGTGCCCCTTAACTTTCTCTTAGCGGCCCCGTTGCCGCCCTTTCAGGCCCCTCACGGCCCCTTCGCGGCCCCGTCGCCGCCCTTCCGCGGCCCCGTCGTCGCTCTTCATCGGCCCCGTCGCCGCCCTTTCAGCGGCCCCGTCGCCGCCCTTTCAACGGCGCCGTCGCCGCCCACTCTTTCAACGGCCCCGTCCCCACCCTTTCAGCGGCCCCGTCGCCGCCCTTCTGCGTCGCCGCTCTTCATCGGCCCCATCGTCGCCGCCAGCGGCCCCGTCGCCGCCTCCATCGGCCCCGTCGCCGCCACCAGCGGCCCCGTCGCCACCGCCAGCGGCCCCGTCGCCGCCACTTGCAGCCCCGACCCCGCCCCGGCCATGCCCCGTCGCCAGCCGCGGCACACTGGGGGCACGTGCACCGCCCCCCCCCCCTTTTCCCGTCGTCCGTCGCGGCTCCTTCGGGGGCCGCACGCAACCCACTCAGGTCGCCTCAACAGGTGACGGGAGGGGCGACCTGGAAGGGGGGGGCAAACGTCGCCCCCTTTGCCGCCTGCTTTGGCGCCCTGGGATGTCAAACATTATATATGTTATACTTGTGTAGGCTACAGTGGGTTAGCCCATAGGGGGTACACAATTCTAGGGTTTACTACTTGTACTCTTTTCACTTCTAGTTGATCCATTCCTGTTCGCTGATTCTGACATGGTATAGAGCGGGTCCTTCTACGGACCGTTTTTTTTTGGCCCACCGAAGCGCCCCCCGAGGCGCGATCTTTTTTTTTTAGCGACCCCTCGGGTCGCCATTTCCCCTGCGGCCCCGCCGCCTTCACTGACGCGGCCCCGCCGCCCTCTCTGTCGCGGCCCCGCCGCCTGCTCTCACGCGGCCCCGCCGACGGCTCTGTTGCGGCCCCGCCCAGGCCCTTACGCGGCCCCGCCGCCTGCCCCCGTCGCGGCCCGGTCACCTCCTGACGGCCCCGCCGTCCCTTCGTGACGGCCCCGCCGTCCCTTCCTGACGGCTCCTGCCGTCCCCTTCTACCGGCCCCGCAACTGCACCTGCTGGCCCCGCCGCTGCACCTACCGGCCCCCACCACCCACCCCCCCTTTTCCCGTCGCCTGTCGAGGCGACCTGAGAGGCCTGCAGAGGGGTGGCAGGTGTGTGGCCTCCCCTGCTTCTCCTCCTCCTTCCTCTCCCATTGCAGCAGCCGAGCCGCTCACCTGCAGCAGCCGAGCCGCCCCACAGCCGAGCCGCCCTGCCGCCGAGCCGCCTGAGTCGCCCGAGCCGCCGAGCCGCCGAGCTGCCGAGCCGCTGAGTCGCCGAGCCTACTCTTCCCACCACTGGTGAGCTCTTGCCCTACTAGCACGCTGCGCGTCGCCTGCTTGCCTGCCTGCCTGCCTTTTGGCTTGCCTGGCTGCCTGCCTCCCTGCTGCTAGTCCTGCTCCTGCTTCTACTTGCGGAGCCAAATGCAGCCCCAGCGACGCCGGCGTGAGTCCCTCACGCCCCAGCAGCTGCGTGAGTGGTACGCTGGTTGGGGCTGTAGGGGTGGCGACGCTACTCCTACTACCACTCCTGCTGCTTCTACTCGTGGTGGCGGCCAGATGCAGCTCCCGCGACCCTCTCGCGTGTCTCTCACGCCTCGCCAGCTTCGTGAGTGGTACGCTCAGAGTGGAGGGTCTCTCAGTGCTGTTCGCTGCTCTTACGTGATTCGCACTGGTACTCGGACTGGTCAGCCTTGTGGGACACGTAGTCATACACCGTCCCGCTGCTTCGCCCGTCTGAGCAACGCATGGCGTACCGTGTTTGGCGACGAGGCTGAGCTTCCCGACTGGGTGGAGTTGCTTAGGCAGAGGGTAGATATATATGCTCTTGACTATGATGCTATTCTCACTGCCATGTATGCATTGCCTACTAGTGCTGACCGTGCCGGTCACCTGTGCGTCCCGCCTGACCCAGGTATAGGACCTGCTGCTCTAGCTACTGGTGAGGCTGCTGCTCTGGGTGCTAGTGAGTCTCCTGCTCCAGGTACAGGTGCGGCTGCTGCTCTAGGTGCTAGTGAGTCTGCTTCCTCAGGTGCGGGTGAGGCTGCGCTCTCAGGTACCGCGTTGGCTTCGGCCTCCCTCACCTTTACACTTGACTCTGGGGCTTCTCGCTCCTTCTTTCGGGACCGCACCACACTCACGCCGCTTGGTCGGCCGGTTGCAGTCTCCCTGGCTGACCCCTCTGGGGGTCCTGTCCTCGCTCACTTCTCCACTGTCCTCCCGTGTCCGGCTGCCCCCTCGGGCACCCTGTCTGGCCTGTACCTCCCCTCGTTCTCGACGAACTTGGTGAGTGGTGCAGACCTACAGGATGCGGGGGTTCACCAGTTCACTCCTGCGAGTCAGCGGGTGACCCACTGCACGGACGCACGCACAGGCCGGCACCTGGCCACGTTCTCGCGTCGGCCGGGGTCGAGCCTCTACACCCTGACCACTGAGTCTCCTCCTGTCCCCGCGTCCGGTCAGGTAGCAGCGTCGGGTCAGGTGTTTGCTGCTGCGTCCAGGTCTGGTCCTGAGTCTGCCCCCTGTACTTGTCGCCTCCTGTCTCACGAGACTCTCCTGTGGCACCACCGTCTTGGCCACCCCTCCTTGCCCCGTCTTCGGAGCATGGCTTCCCGTGTCCTTGTCTCTGGTCTTCCCCAGTCTCTCCCTCCTCTCCCCTCCGGGCCAGGACCTTCCTGTGTCCCCTGTGTCGAGGTTCGCCTCCGGGCTACTCCTCACTCCTCCCACTTCCCCCCGACAGAGGCTCCCCTGCAGACGCTTCACATGGATGTGTGGGGCCCAGCCCCCGTCCGTGGGCAGGGTTACGAGCGCTACTTCCTGTTGGTGGTTGACGACTACTCGCGTTACACCACAGTCCTCCCCTTGCGCAGCAAGGGTGAGGTCACTGAGGTGCTGATCGACTGGATCCGCGAGGCTCGTCTCCAGCTCAGGCAGAGCTTCGGCTCGGACTTTCCTGTTCTGCGTCTGCACTCGGACAGAGGCGGAGAGTTCTCCTCTGGCCTTCTGCGTGCCTACTGTCGTGCGCGAGGCATCCGCCAGTCCTTCACGCTTCCGGACTCACCACAGCAAAATGGGATTGCTGAGCGCCGCATTGGCATGGTCATGGATGTCGCTCGTACGTCCATGATGCATGCGGCTGCCCCCCATTTTCTGTGGCCGTTTGCGGTGAGGTACGCGGCGCATCAGCTCAACCTTCACCCCCGGGTCTCTCGGCCTGCGATGTCCCCAGCCTTGCTGTGGACAGGGAAGGTTGGCGATGCGTCTGTGTTCCGTGTCTGGGGATCTCGGGCGTTTGTCCGCGACTTGTCTGCGGACAAGCTGTCCCCTCGTGCTGCTCCCTGTGTCTTCCTTGGCTTCCCCACTGACGCCCCAGGGTGGCAGTTTTACCACCCCTCCTCTCGTCGTGTTCTGTCCTCCCAGGACGTCACGTTCGACGAGTCAGTCCCCTTCTACCGTCTCTTCCCCTACCGCACTCCTTCCCTCCCCCCTCCCCCGGACTTCCTTGTACCGGTTCCCCCCCCGGTAGACCCCCTCCCCCCTCAGGTTCCTGCCCCCTCAGGTGTGTCCCAGGTAGACGCCGTTGACCCGGTCGAGGTTACAGGTGACTCTGGTGCTGCTGCGGGTGCTGAGCCTGGGGGTGCTGACTCTGGGGGTGCTGTGCGCGGGGGTGCTGAGCCTGGGGGTGCTACTGCCGGAGCTACGGGACCTGCGGGTCCTCCTGGAGCTGGAGCTGCTGAGGGCGTTGGTGCTGAGCCTACTGCTCTTGGTCCTACCGCTGGAGGTGTGGGTGGCGCTGGTGCTGTAGCTGAGGGTGCTGGTGCTGTCCCTACTGCGTCTGGAGCTGCTGAGCCTGGGGTTTCTCCTGCTGCTGCGTCTCGCCGGGAGCCCCTCTCTCCACAGGAGCTGCGCGAGTGGTACGCTCGCCGCTGGAGGCGTGCTGCTGAGTCTGGAGGTGCTGCTGGAGCTGGAGCTGGAGCTTCTTCGACCGTCGAGGGTGCGGGTGCTGCCGGTCCCGGAGCTGCTGGACCTGCGGGTCCTCCTGGAGCTGGAGGTGCTGAGGGCGTTCGTGCTGAGCCTACTGCTGTTGGTCCTGCCGCTGGAGGTGTGGGTGGCGCTGGTGCTGTCGCTGAGGGTGCTGGTGCTGTCCCTGCTGAGTCTGGAGCTGCCGCGCGGCCTCGGCCGTACTTCGTTCCGCTCCTACAGCAGGTTCTTGGTCTTTCTCCTTCGGTAGAGTGTCCACAGCCTGTCCAGTCGCAGTCACTGTTGGAGCCTTCCTCTCCTCTGCCTGCTCCCTCTCCTTACACTGGTCCTACTGGAGGTCTTGCTGAGCGTCGTGAGCCTGCGTCTCGTCCCGCGTCGCCTGTTCGTGCTGCTCGCGCTAGTGGTCGCGGTTCGCGTCAGCGTCCTCCTCCTGTCCCTGGCACGCACCGGATGTCTCTGCGTCCGTCCACTGCTCCTCTGCGTGCCCCTTTGCCTTCTCCTCCTGAGTCCTCTCTTCCTGCGCTTGCCGACCCTGAGTCGGACTCTCTTCGCGCTGCCAGTCCTACTGTCACGCGTCTGCTTGCTACTGTCGTCACTGACCCCTCTTTTGAGTCCACTGCTGCGTCTGCTCTAGTCGCTGAGCTCGTTGACTTTGCTGCTCGCTGTCGTCTCGACTACGCTGCTGGTCTTGTTGCTGAGTCTGCGTCTGTCTGTCCTCCGTCCGTCGGGGGTGAGTGTGCTCTTGGCACGGACGTCCTAGAGGACAGACAGGAGGAGTTGCAGTGTCTAGCGGCTGCTTCACCTCATCTCGCGTCTGTACTGCTTGCCCCTGAGGGAGACCCGGATGCACTAGACATCCCGACTCCGCGTTCTTACGCGGAGGCCGTAGAGGGTCCCTACTCCTCTCAGTGGCAGGCAGCTATGGATGCAGAGATGGCTTCCTGGAAGTCCACAGGCACCTACGTTGACGCAGTTCCCCCTCCTGGGGCGAACATCGTCAGTGGCATGTGGATCTTCCGGGTGAAGCGGCCGCCGGGCTCTCCACCTGTCTTCAAGGCGCGGTACGTTGCTCGTGGCTTCAGTCAGCGGCAGGGAGTTGACTACTTTCAGACCTTCTCTCCCACCCCGAAGATGACCACTCTTCGGGTGCTGCTGCACATAGCCGCTCAGCGCGACTACGAGCTTCACTCTCTCGACTTCAACACTGCGTTCCTACAGGGTAGCCTGCACGAGGAGATCTGGCTGCGCCGTCCACCTGGCTTCACTGGGACTTTCCCTCCTGGCACCCAGTGGAGCCTCCGACGGCCAGTCTACGGTCTCCGCCAGGCACCGCGTGAGTGGCACGACACACTGAGGACTACGCTTGCGGCTCTTGGGTTTGCTCCTTCTACTGCTGACCCGTCGCTGTTTCTGCGCACCGACACTTCACTTCCGCCGTTCTACATCCTCGTGTACGTCGACGACTTAGTCTTTGCCACAGCGGACACTGCTGGACTCGCCTACGTGAAGTCCGAACTGCTGAAGAGACACACGTGCACAGACCTGGGTGAACTGCGCAGCTACCTTGGCTTGCAGATCACTCGGGACAGAGCACGCCGCACCATTACCTTGACTCAGTCACACATGGTGCAGCAGGTCCTTCAGCGCTTCGGCTTCACGTACTCCTCGCCGCAGGCCACTCCTCTGCCTACTCGCCACTCACTCTCAGCTCTGCCTTCGGATGAGTCCGTAGAGTCGAGTGGTCCGTATGCAGAGCTTGTTGGCTGCCTCATGTACCTGATGACCTGCACACGACCTGACCTTGCATATCCTCTGAGCATTCTTGCACGCTATGTTGCTCCTGGGAGACACAGACCAGAGCACATGGCTGCAGCGAAGAGGGTATTGCGCTACCTGTGCAGTACGTCGGGCATGGGGCTTGTGCTTGGAGGGCGGAGTCCAGTGGTCCTTACCGGCCACGCGGACGCTTCTTGGGCTGACGACCAGGCTACGCAGCGGTCGTCACAGGGTTACACCTTCAGCCTTGGTTCCGGCTCTGTCTCGTGGCGGTCTACTCGCTCGTCTTCGGTTCTCGGCTCCAGTTGTGAGGCTGAGATCTACGCCGGGGCCATGGCTGCACAGGAGCTTCGCTGGCTCACCTACCTGCTGAGTGACCTTGGAGAGCCGCCTCGTTCTCCTCCAGTGCTGTACGTAGACAACAAGGCCATGCTGGCCTTGTGTCGAGAGCAGCGCTTGGAGCACAGAACGAAGCACATTGCTCTCCGCTACTTCCTTGCTCGTGAGCTGCAGCAGCGTGGTCAGTTGCGACTTGCGTACGTGGCCTCTGAGGCCAACACTGCTGATGTGTTCACCAAGGCACTCGCGCCTTGTGATCATCAGCGCTTTTGCACCCAGCTGGGTCTTGTGTCTGTCTTGCCTCACTTGCTCTCCTCTTGACTTTACTTGTACTGTGACATATATATATACCTGCTCTTGCTTGTCTAGTTTTATATATATGTCTGTACTCCTGCATGTGAACTGGCCTCTGGCCCTGCTCTTGTGCTCGGACTGTGTGGTGACTTTGTGATCCACCCTGAGCTTGCTTTGTTTTGCTTGACTGGTCTTGTGACCCCTTGTTCTCCCCCACTTTGCCTATGGGGGTGTGTCAAACATTATATATGTTATACTTGTGTAGGCTACAGTGGGTTAGCCCATAGGGGGTACACAATTCTAGGGTTTACTACTTGTACTCTTTTCACTTCTAGTTGATCCATTCCTGTTCGCTGATTCTGACATGGGAGGCCGTGCGTCGCCCCCCCCCCCCCCCCTCTTCTCCTTCGTCTCCCTGCAGCTGCGAGGGGGAGGGTTTGGGGGTGGCGGGTGTGGGGGTGATGGGTGGTGTGTTTCCCTTCCCCTCCTCCTTTCGTTCCCACTGCTGCAGCCGCCGCTGGGGGGGAGGGTGTGAGGGTGTGGGGGAGCCAGGGGAGTGGCATTGGGATTGGGGTGGCGGGTGTGAGACCAACCACCCCCCATCCCTCGTGGGGGGGGGGGGGAGGAGAGTAAAGGGGTGGCAGGAGTGCCTGCCCCTTTGCTACTGTACCTGCTCTATTACCTTGTCTGTTGTTGCTGCTTTCTTTGCACTTGGTGTACCTCTACAGGAGATGTACTGGACACGATTCTAGCTGTAGGCATTTAGGGGGTGTGTTGAAATGTATTTGTATACATTTATAAATGCCTACAGTAGAGTTTAGTGTAGTTATATAGTTTCCTGCTTGGTGGTGCACCATTTGCCCATTTCCTTTACTATATCTTGTATGCCTTCTATTATTGAAACACTTTTCTCCTTCCAAAATCCCTCGACACTTTTCCTTCAACCTTTCAACTCGAACTAAGTCACTCCTAACTATGGCTCCTAAGCCCAACTCGACTTAGGATTCTGACATGCTATTAGAGTGATTACGGTCCTGGCCTGTGGGCCCGCCTTACTGCTTCCGCTGCTACTCTGTGTTCGGCACGCCCCGTGGCGTGCCCCTTAACTTTCTCTTAGCGGCCCCGTTGCCGCCCTTTCAGGCCCCTCACGGCCCCTTCGCGGCCCCGTCGCCGCCCTTCCGCGGCCCCGTCGTCGCTCTTCATCGGCCCCGTCGCCGCCCTTTCAGCGGCCCCGTCGCCGCCCTTTCAACGGCGCCGTCGCCGCCCACCCTTTCAACGGCCCCGTCCCCACCCTTTCAGCGGCCCCGTCGCCGCCCTTCTGCGTCGCCGCTCTTCATCGGCCCCATCGTCGCCGCCAGCGGCCCCGTCGCCGCCTCCATCGGCCCCGTCGCCGCCACCAGCGGCCCCGTCGCCACCGCCAGCGGCCCCGTCGCCGCCACTTGCAGCCCCGACCCCGCCCCGGCCATGCCCCGTCGCCAGCCGCGGCACACTGGGGGCACGTGCACCGCCCCCCCCCCCCTTTTCCCGTCGTCCGTCGCGGCTCCTTCGGGGGCCGCACGCAACCCACTCAGGTCGCCTCAACAGGTGACGGGAGGGGCGACCTGGAAGGGGGGGGCAAACGTCGCCCCCTTTGCCGCCTGCTTTGGCGCCCTGGGAGGCCGTGCGTCGCCCCCCCCCCCCCCTCTTCTCCTTCGTCTCCCTGCAGCTGCGAGGGGGAGGGTTTGGGGGTGGCGGGTGTGGGGGTGATGGGTGGTGTGTTTCCCTTCCCCTCCTCCTTTCGTTCCCACTGCTGCAGCCGCCGCTGGGGGGGAGGGTGTGAGGGTGTGGGGGAGCCAGGGGAGTGGCATTGGGATTGGGGTGGCGGGTGTGAGACCAACCACCCCCCATCCCTCGTGGGGGGGGGGGGGGAGGAGAGTAAAGGGGTGGCAGGAGTGCCTGCCCCTTTGCTACTGTACCTGCTCTATTACCTTGTCTGTTGTTGCTGCTTTCTTTGCACTTGGTGTACCTCTACAGGAGATGTACTGGACACGATTCTAGCTGTAGGCATTTAGGGGGTGTGTTGAAATGTATTTGTATACATTTATAAATGCCTACAGTAGAGTTTAGTGTAGTTATATAGTTTCCTGCTTGGTGGTGCACCATTTGCCCATTTCCTTTACTATATCTTGTATGCCTTCTATTATTGAAACACTTTTCTCCTTCCAAAATCCCTCGACACTTTTCCTTACCTTTCAACTCGAACTAAGTCACTCCTAACTATGGCTCCTAAGCCCAACTCGACTTAGGATTCTGACACGCACGTGGCGTTTGACTGTTTGCTTGGATGTAAGCTGGTCGCGTTCTGCATCTGGCCCAGGTGAGTACAGCGGGACTAGTTGTAGGCTGGTTGTGCTTTGCGTACGTGTTTGCCTATAAGTGCTGATGCGAGTCGTCATGTGTCATATTATCATGTCAGGGAAATGAGTGACAAGAAGGCCTCAAACGCGGGCATGTTGCTGCTTTTGCGACTGGACCACCTGAGGCTTTACGCGACTTTACCCTGGAAAACTCGCTTTGTCCGCGTCTGTCACCCCACTGCCGCGGCTGAGCATCTTACCGCGATATACAAGATTGTCAAGTAAGCCTATACCAGCGGTGCTATTCTTACCTTCGGTTGCGGCTACTATTCTTCCATGTCTGAGAAATATCATGTGAACTGTGCAGGTGGTTACACGGTCACGTTTGCATCTTTTACGGGAGCGATTCGGTCCAGTGCGAACGTTCTGGGAAGCTGGGAGATCCGTCGTGCCTCGTGGACCTGGTGAGTATATAAAATGTTCTTGTTTGCTTTGGTCGCGTTTGGTACGTCTTAGAGCCCTAACTCAACACGCCATCTTCACGGTTTCCTTTCAGTATATTTCTTCCTAGAAGGCCCCTTGCGGTCCACTCGCATGCGTATACGCGTTCGACAGAGTTCTCAACAACCTTGACGCGGTTGTTGGACATGACCCTACGCCTCGCATCGCCAAGCCAATTGCAAGGACGCTGACCACATTGCGGCAGGATGCAAAACGCGTCGCGGAGTAGCTCGCGTTCAGGTCCAGGTGCGGGATCGCGGACGGCCATGCGGGGGATGCTCACCTCAATGAACGTTTGAGGTCGCGCGAACTGCCGGCAGAATCGCATGTTTCGGGTCGCGATGCACTCTTACTCAATACACCGCTTGCGCTTGCGAACGCAGGGGAGGGGGAGCAGAGGAAGCCGGACAAGGAGGAGGGCTCGAGCTCTGACCGCGACAAGGATGCCTCTGTGAACACGATGCAGGGTCTAGGTGCTAAGAATGCGCAGGAGGAGGCCGACGAGGCAAAGGGACAGGGTCGCGGACAGGACGAAGGGGATGCTGCGGATGATGACCAGCGCGGTGATTTGGAGCTGGAGGGTTCGGAAGAACTGGAGGGGGAAGAGGGCGACGAAGAGGATGAGGAAGAGGAGGAAGAGGTGGAGGAGATCGCGACCAACAATGCCGGGTGGGCGGCGAGCGTGGTCGCGGGTGCAGGGAAGAGTATTCGCGGTCTACATGTTGTGCTGTCCCCCCGTCACGGTAGCGCGACCCCGTGGACAGAGTATGCGGGCAAGAGTCCGGTCGCGGGCAAGCGTAAACACTCGGAGCTGGTGAAGATGGATCCTGCTAAGCTGGCCGTGGAGATCCTCCGCCTGGACGAGCAGGTGAAAAATCAAAAGCGCAAGCTGAACGAGATCGTGTCCGCAAAGCCCAGCATAGAACACGCAGTGGTGATCACGCAAAGCTACGAAGTGTCGAGAGTTGAACGAGAGTGTAAGTTAAGTTGAAAGGTAGGGCCTAGGCTTAGGAGCCTAGGCCCGAGATTAGGAGTCGAGCAGGTTTCTCCTAGGGTGAGGATCGAGTGAGTTGGAAGAGAGTTGGGAAAAATGTGTGTTCACTATAGGGTTCGAAGTACATATAGCAAAGGAAAACATGAAGAGGTGCACCACCTACAAATTTAATAACTACACTACAGCTAGAACTACATGCAGTTATAATAAATATAATTCTAACATCCCCCCGTAACTGCATGCAAGAATAGCTAAGTGCAGAGCACAACCTACAGAGGTACACCAACGAACAATAAAAAAAGCAACAGCAGGTACTGCAGGCGGGCTAACTTTGAATGGTTACCCCCTCCATCTCCTCACCCTCCTCCTTCCCCTCCCCCACACTGCTGCAGAAGCAGCAGAGAAGGGGGGAAGAGAGGAGGGACGGCTGCTTGTTGCCTCACACCCGCCACCCCGGTACCACTCCCCCTGCTCCCCCACATCCTCACACCCTCCCCCCCAGCGGCAGCTGCAGCGGTGGGACTGAAAGAAGGAGGGAAAGGGAAAGAGTTGACCCAACACTCCAACACCCGCCACCCCCATACCCTCCTCCCCACGGCTGCAGGGAGACAAAGGAGGAGGGGGGGGTGGGCGGGAAGAAAGCCGCAGAGCGGCTAAACGGTGTCGGCGCAGATAGGTCAGGGGCGGCTTCAGGGAGAGCAGGGGTGGAAAGGCCCGTTGCGTGCCACGGGGCGCACGACGGGTAAGTTAAGAGAAAGGGCCCGATCGTGTGCCTCGAGGCGCACGACGAGCAGGGCACCGTCGCGTGCCACGGGGCGCACGACGGGCAGGTAAAGGGCATCGTCGCATGCCACGGGGCGGGACAAGGAAAAATCGTCACGCGCCCTAGGCGCGCGACCGGAAAATCGTAGCAGCGGAAACGTGAGGCCAGAACGAACGTCGCTCTAATAACATGTCGAGAGTTGAACGAGAGTGTAAGTTAAGTTGAAAGGTAGGGCCTAGGCTTAGGAGCCTAGGCCCGAGATTAGGAGTCGAGCAGGTTTCTCCTAGGGTGAGGATCGAGTGAGTTGGAAGAGAGTTGGGAAGAATGTGTGTTCACTATAGGGTTCGAAGTACATATAGCAAAGGAACACATGAAGAGGTGCACCACCTACAAATTTAATAACTACACTACAGCTAGAACTACATGCAGTTATAATAAATATAATTCTGACACGAAGAGCTTGTGGCCACGGTGGAGAAGGCACTGATTCACGTGCAGAACACGGAACGGACGACACACAGGGAAGCCAAGCTGGTCGAGAAGGACAGGGCGGAGAATCGCGACATGCGGGAGGTGTTGAAACGCGCGGCTGTCCACTTGGAAGATTGCACGGCTAGCATGAAGGGGGTGGTTGTGGACTCCATGGAGAATGCAGAGAAGAAGCTGACAGACGAGGTCGCCCGTAAGATTGACGGCGCGTCATCCAACATTGCGGGAACCGCTGAGAAAGCGATACACACAAGCGGCGTCACCAACGCTCTCAACATCGTCATCGCGATGCTTTCCGGGCGTGACGCACCGCGACAGGTCACAGATGGGACGCAGGGAAAGGTGTCTGACGAGGTCGCAGAGAAAGAGGCAGGGAAGAGGGTCGCGGAGAAAGATACGGTGAAGAGGGAGACAGGGAAGAAGGCCGCTGACAAGGAGACAGGGAAGAAGGCCGCGGACAAGGAGACAGGTAAGAGGGTCGCGGACAAGGACACAGGGAAGGGTGAGAGCAGCACGGGAGGGAAGCGGCAGAAAGGTCCTATGGCGACTAGCGTCAGTGATCTCCTTAAGATGGGAGGCGCGGTCGTCGTGTGTGCAACGGCAACCACCAGGATGGATGCGGCTGCGGGACCACCGCCTGCCCCCTCGGCGGTCGAAGCTGGTAAAGGCAAGGACAAGGTCGAGGACGCCCCGCCAAACACCACCCCCACTACCACTGCCAACACGACCGAGATAGTGCCCGCAGCTGGTAACACCGCCGCGGTCGCGGATGGACAGCCTGGACCCAACTCCATCGCCCCTGCATTCCCCCCATCTGCAGATGTGAAGGTGAAGAATCAGGGCCGCGGTGGTTGTAAGCCGCCTCCGGCCGCGTTGAAGGCGGATCGCGAGGACGAAAACGACTCGGACGCGGACGATGAGGTTGAGCTGGTGCTGCAGAGGTTCATGGGGCCAAGCGACAACAGCGGCACTAGCGGCAAGCGCAAGGGCTGTGGTATCCGCCCTCCTCCCAGGGGTGGAGAGGGGATGGTGGGCAAACCGTGACTGGGGGGGAGGCGTCACTGTCTGGGACATCACTCACTCCAGGAGGTGCAGTACCTGACCGCGATCGCGGTCATGTGTTACGACAAGAAGATTGACCCCAGCCTCAAGTTGACTGCGCAGCAGAAGAGTGAGTGGGCCAAGGACATCTCCGTGGCCGGGACGATGTGCACCAGCCTATTCGCCACCATGCACATCCGCAACCTTTGCGGCAATGTTGACATGTACGGTCGTGTGTTCAGTTATTTGTGAACACGAGTTCACAGGATCGCGGTCACGTTCGCGACTAACCATGTCCCGTGTTTTCCCCCTGCTTGCATGTACCACCACATGTTCAAGGCCTACCGCGACTTCACTCGTCCCGGTTCCACTCTCGGTAACGTGGTCGCTTGGGTAGCCGCGGTGGGAAAGGAGGCTGCAGACGAGGAGCCCGATGTCACCGGGGACCTAGTGGGCCTATTTGCTGGCGCGGTCGCGTGCGCCATAGCCATGGTGTGGGAGACCTGCAACGGTCTTGATCTCGAGGGGGTCACGGATGCTAGATATGTCGCGGCGCAGTGTGCCGGCACTCCAGAAGAGAAGGCTTGCGGTCACGTCTCGATTGTGACTACGGTATTCAAGTGGGCCAGGAAGGAGAGTGCTCGCAAGCAAGCACCCAAGATCACTCCAAAACAGGTCACGGAGAAGATAGAGACCGCTGTGGTGAACCGCCTTGGTGCGCGACTTGGGGACCCCACATTGGTTGGTATTGGTCGCGCACGAGGCAGTAGATGTACTGATGACCTGGTGCGACTGCAAGATCGCGGCCAAGGTGATGGAAACCAACGGTCTCTATCTTGCACTGCCAGACAAGCGTCTGTCCGCAAAGAAGAGGTCCGTGTGAATGGGGTGGTAGTGGTTGTGAATTGTGGGTTCTAGGGACACTTGTTTGTGTTGTTTGTGATAGTATAGGTAACTTGCCCACCCTGCTTGAGATTTTCTCGCGGTGGTCATTTTGTCTATGCTGTGTGCTCCTTTGTCATTCAACTCTCTTACTCGATCGCCACCGGCGTTTCACGTAATCCTCGGCACTCTTTGAACTGAGATTTCACGAACAAGGTCAAATGCATGGTTGAGCCACCAATACTTGAGCGATACATGCTATCGGTTGAGCCAACAGTACTACACACACTATTCGAACGCGCTACAAAGAGCAATTTACGTCAGCTCTGTAACGCAATCGGAACATTTAGAAGCCCAAAGGTATTCTCCATTGCGACACACGGTCCTGTTTCAGGACTACACACTGTGAGTGAAGCGCGACAAGGTATATTCTCATGAAACACAATCACAATCGCGGTCTACTAGACATGTCACAATCGCGGTCTACTAAACATGTCCCGAACGCGATCAACATCTGATGTTACCCCCCCAATCATCTAGGCATGGCATCTGGGCGCAATACTGTGGCCACGCGACCGGAAACTCTGATGCAGGAAGGGAGGCATCGATAAAGTGGTCGCGTACAAGCATCCATTTCACACGCAACTGCACCTCAGCCGGGGAACCCTTCTTCAGCTCGCTTAGGGTCAAGTCAGCACTCTTCTTCTTCACCGCGACCCCTTCCGATACACCCGACATGCCCACGGCTACAGATACGAGGTCGAGCTTGTCGAGCACGACCGCAAGGTTGTCCCCTTGCTCCACCCTGTGGGCGATGAAGTTCATGACTTGCTTGACACGGTTTATTGCGTTCGGGCCACCTCCAGCCTTCCCAATAAGCTTGGCCAACTGCGTAGCTGCACCGCGGGGCTGGGCGATAAGCGACTCCGTAATCTCACCAAACAGCGGGTGCGTGGACTTATAAAGCTTCCATCCATCCGACGGTTTTGCCGCGTTGACCCATGGGAGGACGATCGCGTCCCGAATCGTCTCTTCCCTCATGGGCTGTGCGGGTTTCTTCCTCGTTTCCTGGTCGGTGGGAGTTGTGGTCTTTGTAGGCTCAGCCGCGGCATCAAGAGTGTCTGCCAGACTCGGATCCGCGGTCGGCCCAGAGCTGCTCACGGTGAGACGCGACAGCTGAGCCTCCAAATCATTCACGCGCTCTTCCTTCGCGGCCAGCTTCCGATCGTGATCCTCCAGCAACCTCTCCAGCTCTTTCACCCGTTTATGAGTCGCGACCAACTCTAGGCCCAGCCTGGTGTTGTCCACTTGTGAACGAGTCAGGTACTCAGTGAGGACGGTCACTTGGTTCTGCGCGTCCATTCTGGTACTCACCTCCTGCATGGACAGAAAGCGACCGCGAACTTGTTATGGTTTGGCATTGACATTACAGCCGGAAAGATAACGCGACCATGCAGTACTTACTGCGGGCTGGGTCAGTGTGGGTGTGTTGCGCTGTACTATGGCAAGTTGATTTGCCAAGGAGACATCTATAACCCACGACGCAAATTCCTCCGTCTGGCAGAGCGGGTTGTTCACCACGTATGGGTGTCGCGGATGGTGAATGTAATACATTGTCAGGTCTTGCGCGACCGCCATCCTAGCCTCCCCATCCAGCTCCTTCAGTATGCTTAGCCCCGCGGTGTCCTGCTTCTCAGGCTTCTGCTTTTTGACCATCTTGCGGTTGTAATCCTTGCACTGTGATAAGAAAACAACGTGGTAGTGAACACAGTGCCAGAGGGTTGTGTGGGATGCTCGCGGTCGCATGGGAACCATTATGCGCTGCCCACTCATACCTGTTTCTGTACTTTGTCCGGGGCAGCCCAGATAAAAATGTGCTTCCTCAGTAGCTTTTTTAGATCCGGGCTCACCGGCACAGTTGCGGGACCAAGGAAGTAGTCACCGTCAACCCCGGTGAAGCCTGCCTTCAGCAGCACGGCCTCCCTCGGAATGGTTGTGAGGTATTGCTTAGTCATCACCTCGATGAAGCGCCAACCACCCAGCCTCGCCAGCTGATCCGAAGGCATTCCGTCCGCGGACGCGTGCTGTGCCCCCCAGCCCTGGTCGCGTGTACCGCACGCGAGCATGTGATTCCTGCGTCCTGGAGAATCTTCGCCGCCCAATCGTGATGAGTCGTGGGCGGTATTTGCTTCCCGATGCCCGTGCAAAGGGGGAAGAATAGGTATTGATCGTACCACGTCGAGGGTTCCATGAAGTCGAGAGGGGGGGCTATGTCTTCGTAGAGGATGGGAACCAAGTCATACACCCAGTGCAGCCAGAGCAGCGTGGCTCCGACCACGCACAGCGTCCAATCTATGTGCCTCACAGCAGATATGTAGTTGAGCAAAAAGTCCTTGTTTGTCTTGCCCGTCCTGCATGCGCAGACAAACATGAACGCGTTCCTCACTGGATCGGTCTCGGATTTTGCGCCGAGCTTCCACATCATCATGTCTGGAAGCTGCAGGTTTCTGATCGTGCACCCGCAGGCCAGAGTGTGATGACCGAGCACGGTCATCGTCCGGATGCAGAGGTCGCGATACATTGCATGCGTGTATGTTTTCTTGGCTAGTGTGAAGCTGGTCAAGATTGCGTCCATGCTGGTCTTCCGCATCATATACTTGAACTCGTCCGGGGTATACATGTCCGCGGCCGTGCCCCGATGGCAATCCATGTGTTCCCTGTGGGTGGACGATAGTGCGGGTGTTAGTGGACGTGGTATTGTTGGGCATTAAATGCGTTCACTGAGTACGTATTCTTACGCGATAAACCGCTTGTACTGGTCACGTACTTGAACACAGACCCAAATGCGACACTCCACAAAGTCCCACAGCATGTTCAGAACGGGCTTCTTGAAGATGGCCCCGTCCAGCTTGATCAGCAGGTTCAAAGCCTTGAGACGCCCCATCAGCATTGCTGGGGTGCACTCGCGTCTCTTCTTCAAGGTCTTTTCTGGCCGCTTGAGTGTGGCCATCCTGTCCGCCTGTGCGACTCTCTCGTTCGCAAGGAAGGTCACGTATTTGCAGAAGCGCCATAGATTCGTCTCAAGGCCGTGGAACCACTGCTCGTCGCCCTCTGCCATCTTCCAGTCACCACCCATGTACTGTTCGACCGCGGCCCCTATCTCGTCGGGGTTCGCGTTTCTCAACGCGGCCTCCTCACCAAACCTACCCGCGTCCAGTTTAGGCAGCTTGTGAGCCATGAACTGCTTGTACTCGTTGGCCCAACCGCGATACTTCTTCAGCATGGCCTCAAAGACACCGTAGAGGATTCTGTAGCACATCTCTCGTTTCGCGGCCGACGTGTCGTCCACACCAAGCCTGTTCCAATCCGCGATAGGGACCTCAATGTCCCTCCGCGTACCCCGCACCCATTCGTTGTCTTCCGCCTCCTCCTCGTTGAGCGCGGACAGCAAGTTCGATAGGTAGTTTTCGTCATCGTCATTCCAACTATCGTCCGCATCGTCAGCGTCGTCCTCGTCATCCTCATCGCTTGCCCCCTCGCTCCCCTCCCGGGAGCCATTGCGTGCCGTGTGCGGCACGACATCGACTCGCCGCCTCCTTATACGCGGTCTATTAACTGGCCCATTACCGGTACCGCCGTTCGCGTTAACACCGTTACCCCTGCCGCCGTTACCTGTCACCCCATGCGCTCCCTGCCCGGTCGCACTATCCCCGTTCGATCCCACACCTGTCCCACGTCCCGCGCTCGCTCTCCCACCCCTTCCTCTCGCACCTCTCTCTCTAGTCGCGTTCCCTCTCTCCCCTGTCCCTCTTCCCGCATTCCCTCTCGCACCAGTCCCTCTTCTCGCATTCCCTGTTGCACCAGTCCCTCTTCCCCTTCCTGCGTTTCCTCTTGCACCCGCTCCACGCCCCGCGTTCCCCACGTTCGCCTCTGGTTGCCCACCTACACCAGTCGCGTCCGCTACTGTCGGTTGCGCGGGGGTGCGGATGTGGACGTCGGGGTTTCCGGGCAACAATGAGTTCACGTTCCATATTGGTGGCGAATGTGCACACGCGCTTGCATTCATTCCCGCTCCACCATTCACTGCACGCCCTAAACCACCAGCAACCGCGTTCGATGATGGGCCGTCTGTTCGCGCCCGTGTGTCCGAACTGACAACTAATGCTTCTCTAGGGTTGGGCGGGGCTTGCACCGTTGGCTGGCTTTCCGGATGGATCGCGCTGGGGAATGGTGTTGACGGCGCGACAGGAGGCGTCACGATAGATGCGGGTGCGTGCACCATGGGGTCTGGTTGAACGCCGATGTATCCGTACCGGAATCCCATGTTCCCGTACTGTGGCCCTACGAAGCCATGGACAGGCATCCTAAAGAGCTGGCTAGTGGGCACGGACGGGGACACGATGTGTTGTCCAACAACCTGTGGTCCGGGATGAGGCGTTGATACTCCTTGCGCGGTAACATCATCCTGTTGATTTTGAAACGCGACCGTCGCTGCCGCAAACGGTAATTGTGGCCGCGGTGCTAGGTGGAGCCCATTGACCAGTTGCTGTGGGTGGAACGCGGGCATCCGCGACCCAAAAATCACGGGCTGCACGTATGGGGTGCTCCATGTGGGATTGAGGGCGTTCACCCCATGCATGGGAGCGGTAGGCGGTTCGGCATTATGGATTTGCTGCGCGGTTGTGTTGCCCGGAGCATTGATGGAGTCGTGAAGTATTGCGCTGCGATGCGATTCACGGTATGCATGCAGCGTGCAAGATTGCCCCTACTCCTATTCACCGCGTGCGTCAATATGATGCGCGGTTACTGCTTGTACACCCGGGTGTGACTTAGACTCATCTACCAGGCGACCGTTGTGCTCGCGGACATTTGAGCGCGGCACACAATGTAACCGCGATACTGGTGTCCTGTTTTCCATCTAAGTCAGGTGAATCCACTGGGTCATGAGAGGGAAGAGCTTGGTGTGCAACTGGCGATCGTAAAGGGAAAATGTGGGCATGCTCGGAGTAATGACCGGACACTACATGGACGTGCTTGACACGTTACCGCGATGGCGCATCAACCAAACAGCGACAGCTGTATGGCTCGTTCAAATCTCTGCACGTGTCAGCTAGTATGGAGCATACCAGATCGCGCCAGCTATATCTGAACCGAATCTCGCTGTGCGCTTACCAAACCTATCCTTGTGCGAAATTTGTTCGTGATAAGTTGCGAGATAGCACAACCAGTATTTGCACTCCTTTGTTTTCGCGAACGCGTAGTTGCATGCGCGGAATGTCCCTCTTGTCAATGTTACCAACCAATCGCGTTCGTTTTCTACCGAGTCGCGCATGCATCGGCGCGTAAGAAGGAGGTGGGTCCTTTCGGTTTTCAGGGGGGCGCGGAGCTTTCAGTAGCATACTGGTGGGTTTCACTGAGCCACGCAGGGCCGCGCTAGGTCCAAACTTGCTGGGATCCTGGGTGGCCGACTTTGCCCCACGCCTCCCGCGATAGCTCCACGCCCCGTACATCCCCAGGCGTGGGCGGGGTTTTTCCCGAGCTGCGCCGTACGAACATCCTAGTCCATCCGGCCCCTGGTGGCTTCGAACTCACTAGGTCCCCCTTCTGGTGGGAACTCGTTCCCACCAGGGCCGCACGCGGATGCAATGCCTGACGCGACCCCCAGCTGGAAGCTGCACGCGAGAGGGAGTTCCCCGCCTGCATGTAGGTGCCTATCGAGATCCGGGTGGCAGAGCAAGCTGGCGGGGTGGTCCCGCACCGAGCATGGGCCACGCCAGCTCCACGCAGTGTGGTCCTAGCCCCGCCCCCCCCCCCCCATGCCCAGCCCTGGCTCGCGAAACCCGTCCCTCTCCAATCCGAGGGCGAGGGCCGAACCCCAGCGCGCCGAAACGGATCCGGCCAATCGGAGCCGTTTCTGATGGGCTTGTGGCCCGAGCAGGGACCCAGCGAAACAATTCGCACGCCTGGCCGCTCATGCAAAGCGTCACCTGTGCGCGCCGGAACGAATCCGACAAATCGGAAACAGATTCTTCTGGATCCCTGTTTCGCAAGCCCACCCCGAAATACTCTTCGCGCATGCGAAGGGTAGCCAGTGTTTGCCCACAAATCATCCGCAATTCAAGAGACTGTTCACCCAACGTACTGTTGTTACACTTTTTTTATTATTCGCAAATCTTAAACGCGATTGAACCGTATATTCAGTCCTGAACATGACTTTTCCCTTTGTATCAACCAACCCCCCTCACTTGAATTAGAATCCCCATGACTTTTCTTCCCCACACATTTTTTTTTTTTTTAAGCGACGCGTGGTGCGTTTTGCCAAGTCAATTAAACGCGATTTACATTTTTTTCACGCGTGTACTGCATTATTCGTCTGTGTATTAAGTGTTAGTTTCGGATCGTTACCCAGCTTTTTGGCGGACGCATCGAGGAATACACCCCGCCCGAGGTGGTAACCGTCGCCCCTTGCATGCAGTCCGCGGTCGGAGTGCTACATGGCGGGACGTGGTTCCACCCGCATGCATGAACGGGAACGCACCCACCTCGGGATGTCCGAAGGGGCGCACGGGTTCCTCCCCACCACGCGCAGTGCCACCCTTTGCCTGTTGCTCGCGCTGCCCCCATCCAGGATGCGTCCCATCCACTATTAGGCCCTTGCAACAGGGTTTCAAGTGCTCATTTTCCTGTTCTCACTTTGGTTCCCTTCAATTTGCCATCCTGCTTGTCCTCTCCGCCTACTTCTTGGTGTAAGCGCTTCTTCGAGCGGTAGTGTTGGTGGTCACGTTCGCGTTTAGGTAGAGGGCCAAAACTCATAGGGTATCCGTGTGGTTCGCGTGCACGCTTCCCCTTGTTTGCTCACGTTTTCCCCCCGCCATGGCTAGTCGCAAACTGAAGGCGCTGTTGAACAGTGGCGAGCAGGGCGCTACTTACACTGATACGATCTCGATCGCTGGCGCCACTGTGGAGCTCCCCCCTGAGCAGAGGAAGTGCTTCTCTGATGATAAGCACCCTTTCAGCGCGACCTCCTTCGACTTTCTCGCCTGGTAAGTCTTCCTTGGGATGGATTGCTTGTTTCATACGCCTTGCTGGGTCGCATCGCAGCTTTGTGCAGCTTGTTTAGAACGCCCACATGCGGGAGATGCGGTCGCGTGCATAGCGTTCGCGCTACACATCGCCAGCAAAATTTCCGTCCGAGCCATCTTCAGACCCCTTGCTTCCCTTTGTGAGACCATTGATTCCCTTTGGGTTCGTATCGACATATATCGCGTCAACTTTTCCATGTACTGGCTTATATAGTTACGCCCGCAGAACATCCCGGCCGCGATGTTTTTGTGGCCGTATGTTCTTTACGATTCTCGTACAGCGTGGTAGTTCGGAAGTGCGTGTCCCCGTCGCTCTAGGAGGCGATACACGTCGTGCCCTCCAATGTTCTCGCGGACATCGTCGTGGGTGGTGAGGCTGCGTACGTGGCGTTTGACCGTTTCCTTGGATGTAAGCTGGTCGCGTTCTGCGTCTGGCCCGGGTGAGTACAGCACGACTAGTTGTAGGCTGGTTGTGCTTTGCGTACGTGTTTGCCTATAAGAAGTGATGCGAGTTGTCATGTGTCATATTATCATGTCAGGGAAATGAGTGACAAGAAGGCCTCAAACGCGGGCATGTTGCTGCTTTTGCGACTGGACCACCTGGGGCTTGACGCGACTTTACCCTGGAAAACTTGCTTTGTCCGCGTCTGTCACCCCACTGCCGCGGCTGAGCATCTTACCGCGATATACAAGATTGTCAAGTAAGCCTATACCAGCGGTGCTATTCTTACCTTCGGTTGCGGCTACTATTCTTCCATGTCCGAGAGATATCATGTGAACTGTGCAGGTGGATACACGCTCGCGTTTGCATCTTTTACGGGAGCGATTCGGTCCAGTGCGACCGTTCTGGGAAGCTGGGAGATCCGTCGCGCCTCGTGGACCTGGTGAGTATGTAAAATGTTCTTGTTTGTTTTGGTCGCGTTTGGTACGTCTTAGAGCCCTAACTCAACACGCCATCTTCACGATTTCCTTTCAGGATATTTCTTCCTGGAAGGCCCCGTACTTGAACGCAGACCCAAATGTGACCCACTGCACGTGTGCTCGAACAGGCCAACACTTGGCCATGTTCACTCGTGGGCCAAGGTCGAGCCTGTACACCCTTACTACTGAGTCTCCTTGGGCTGTTGAGTCTGCCTAGGTAGCTGCGTCGAGTCAGGTGTTTGCTGCAGCGTCCGGGTCGGGTCCTGATTCTGCTCCCTGCTCATGTCGTCTACTCTCCCACCAGACTCTCCTTTGGCACCACCGCCTTGGTCACCCCTCCTTGCCTCGTCTCTGAGGCATGGCCTCTCTTGTCCTAGTCTCTGGTCTCCCTCGATCTCTCCCTCCCCTACCTCCGAGGCCTGGCCCTACCTGCATCCCCTGCGTCGAGGGGCGACAGCGCGCCGCCCCTCACTCCTCCGAGTCTCCTCCGACTGAGGCTCCGCTACAGACTCTCCACATGGACGTGTGGGGCCGAGCCCGCGTCAGTGGGCAGGGGCGAGAGCGGTACTTTCTGCTGGTGGTTGAAGACTACTCGCGTTACACCACAGTCTTCCCCTTGCGCAGAAAGGGTGACGTCACTGAGGTGTTGATCGACTGGATCCGCGCAGCTCGTCTCCAGCTCAGAGAGAGTTTCGGCTCAGACTTTCCACTTTTGCGTCTGCACTCGGACAGAGGCGGGGAGTTTTCCTCTGCCCGTCTAGGAGCCTTCTGTTGTGCAAAGGGCATCCGCCCGACCTTCACGCTTGCGGCCTCTCCACAGCAAAATGGGATTGCTCAGCGCCGCATTGGCATGGTCATGGACGTCGCTCGTACGTCCATGATGCATGCAACTGCCACCCATTTTCTGTGGCTGTTTGCGGTTCAGTACGCCGCGCATCAGCTCAACCTTTAGCCCCGGGTCTCCTTGCCAGAGACCTCCCCCGCCTTGCGGTGGACCGGGAAGGTTTGCAATGCGTCTGCGTTTCGGGTCTGGGGATCTCAAACGTTTGTCCGCGACTTGTCTGCGAACAAGCTGTCCCCCCGTGTTGTTCCCTACGTCTTCCTTGGCTTCCCCCCTGACGCGCCTGGGTGGCAATTTTACCACCCCACCTCACACTGTATTCTGTCCTCCCAGGATGTCACCTTTGACGAGTCGGTGCCTTACTACCGTCTCTTCCCCTACCGCACTGCGTGCAGGGATAGCATTCCAGCCCGCTAACCGGCTGGGATAAAAGGGCATGTTTCCTTGGTGGGTCAGCGCACCCATACCCCCCCAAGACGA